CTTCCAACAGGTTCACCGACCTCTCGGATATCCAGTGACTGGTGCGGTGACGATTGATAGTGCCACAAGCAGATGCTCCTGCGTGGTGCATGGCGGTCGAGATTCTATTCTACTGAAGTTCAGCGTCATTAGAACAAGACAGCGAAAGTTCGGTATGCAGTGCGTCTTGATAGGCTTGCCTGACCGAGGACTGAGACAATTTCTCAGTTGCCAATTGTAGGGGACGCTTGGTGCGCTTCCCGGTGAAGTTCAAGGAGAAACGACAACGTGAAAAGATTGTCCTGTTCTCCGAGCTGGGCATTTCTGTTGCAGACTTTTCGTTACCAGAGTCGACACAGGTATTCCATTACGAGCGGCAATCAAGGATGGAACCACGCCGTTTGTAACTTATGGCAATGTGATCAATTTGGGTCCATCGCTGGTCAGCTACAGGAGGACGCCAGGGGGCACTTCGGCGCCATCTGTGTCTAAAAGCAGTGCTGCTAAAAAAACAACTGGTGCTCCGCACACATTTGCAGCAGACTCGCCGTTCGGAGTTAAGCCCATATTTACCATCTAGCTGAGCTTCTGAAGAGCTCAGACGCCCTAGTTGTGCGTTCATATCCACTGCAAGTACTGCAATATCTGAACTAGTAGTACTGCGTAGTAGCGCATTCATTTCGTGATAGTATGTGTCCTTGACAGCATTTGAACTGCAGTCGGTGGGAGCATAAGCGGAAATCACGAACAGCGTTTTGTACTACTTCGTGAATCAACCTTATCTGATGTCGTCAAACGGGCTGCACGTTAACCGCTGTTCACCGGAATGCAATCAATCAGCGATGGCTCAGTCTTGGAGCTTTGAATGATACCAACACCATCTTGACCCGTGAGTGTTGCAGCGGCGTTTCCGGATGCGTGCAACCACTACCGAGAGGATAAGCCGGGTGCAGTTGATCCTACAACCGCATTAGGCTTATTGATCCTAGTTTCGAGCAGACAACACATATCAATGGCCAGTGTGTCCAAGGTGCGTGCGAGTGTAGCCTGTTGACCTATTTGTCTTAGAGTGCGAATGTTGAACGTCTGCATGGAAACGGGATAGCGTGGTCTTATAAGGGACTGTTGGTGATAGGCTTCCGGTGCGTGTCGCGAGAAGGTGGCTGCGGATGGTTCTACTCCAGTGGCAATTCGGTTGCTGTCAATTAAGCTGGGAATTCTAGAAGGAAGGTTAATAATGGGGGTCGGGATGGGAGTAGGCGAAACAGGTGGAAAAGAAAGAAGCGAGGTGCCAGCTGCAGCATGTTTTCGCTTATCCGCCCTGCTGTATGCATCAGATAAGGCGACCCTTGATAATCTGCGCGACGGCCGATGCAGGATGAAGTTTATGTTGGGAGGAAAAATCATGGTTTTATGTGGTAGCCGAGGAAGGAGTAAAGGTGTGTATACATGATGAAGTTGCGGCGGCGTAAAATGCCTCATCCTTTTCGATGTCAGAATAGGCTTTACTAACGTGTCAGAGCTGAGTTGGGAAGCGTCTGAGTGTTGATGCGCCTGCTCTTTCAATGGCTTAGCATTCCATTTCTTGTGCATTCCGTTCAGGTGTAATGTGTGGATTGGCAGTAAGGCCGCATTAATGCAGATAAGTTTTCGGAATGACTTGGATAGTTAAGTTGTTATAGAGTCAATGGTTTTACCGATTGATAGATTTCAAATACTCCAGAGAAGATGAGTGAGTAATATGCGAGACCTACGATACTGAAAACTGAAATATAGGAGCTGGTTATCCAGCTCTTCATGGCATCACTGGTTCCGCAAACACCTGGGTAAACAAACCAACGATGGTCCTTCTTCAAACAACCTACTGGCCCAGCCTTGAGCCCACATAAAAACCTCACCTATTGAGGTTGGCATGGCACGCGGCTACCTCGTAATACAAATCGCACGAAATATGTGTGTTTGCTCAGAATCTTATTCAGTGATTTCAATGTGTCTTTTGCCAGCTCCATAAACAACAAGCTGCATTTTCCAAGCGTTTACTCAGTTAAACGCACCACATGTAGTTTTCCTCACCGGAATATGATGCTCTTCTGATACGTTAGATTCCACTAGATAATCCTAACTACCACCTTTGAAACATCGCATCAAAATGGGAGTCAGATGTACCCCATGTCTCTGTCGAAAATTTACAACAGAGCTTCTTGACAATCCGCAGTTACACAATGTCTTTAAATCTCTATGATAATCAACCGTTGCAGCCTCTAATACGATGTTCCTCGGTTGCATCCACAACCCGAAAAAGCAGCAGCTTGACATGGCGCTATTATCTTTTCGGCATTTGATTTCGTTTCATTGTTACTTCACGGATTAAAAAGATAATCGCGGTTGATTTCATTCTACCCGAAGTCACTTGGTCACTACAACCATCCTCATCGTTGAATAGACATTTCTTGCCGATTCTCAGTGTTTGGTGCTGGACTTAGTGGGTCACCAGACCAACTATGTCGGCCATTGTACTGGACTTAGTATTCACGCTAGATATCTTCGAAACACAAATTGACATCTTGGGCAACTTCTATGGTATTGACCACAAAGATGCTACTGCTTACCTCCCACATCGAAATGAAAACCATACTCGGCTCATCTATCCAAAGTATTGAAGGTTTCTTCACAGCAGCTTGCAAATCATTTAGCCCTCCATATGTCCATGATAGTACTAGACGGCCGTTTCGCCATGTTTGGTCTCGTCAGTAGTTCGCATCCGAAGAATTGACTGGGAGCATTTTCATGAGCTAATCTGATCTCTCCACTGAAACGCTTTTTTCTCTTCACTAGCGTCTATCTTACAATAGAACAGTTCTGCCATCAGGGTCATCGTGTCATTTTGCTCTACTTGTCCCACAAGATTAAGATATCGTTCCTGATCCCAAGAACTCAAGTGAGACCTCGATTAATTTGTATGTAGATAAACTAAGGACTTTTCATTCATATTACAATTGCACGAATCTGTCCCTTGTAACGAACGTTCACAAACGATGAGGTTTAAAAATGAGGAGAACGCAAAGGAAAGGAATCAATAAAATTACTCCGCCCTCGAGTTATCAATAGAGTGTTTTCGATCACCAAACTGATTGATGAGGATTCCGATGGCATCTTCCATCCACCATTGAATTCGGTGGACCTAACATATCACTGTTTTTGCCAAACATGTTCGCGTTCGCGTCAGAATCCAGCCATTTTCCGGATCAGTCAGAAACATCGGTTGCTCGTCATAAAGGGGAGGCGCAAACAGAACGTCGCCAATTATCGGCCTATCCATCACACTCCTATACTTGTTAGATTGCTCGACAAATTAATTACTAATAGAATCATGAGTTTTGTCTATCATTTTAGACTGATTGACGAACACCAGCATTGATTCCTCGATAAGCGTTCCTGTACACATTGTCAGTCGCACTAACTGGACTTCACCACAAAATCCGTTGATTCCAGTTAGGCAGTCATAACTTTATTCCTGGATATGCACAAGGCATTCGACCGGGCGCCTCAATCTCTTACCGAAACTAACCGAGTGCTTTGGGATCAGGGCCCCACTACTGAGTTAGCTGACTTCGTACCTGTGTGACGTTCCCAGATCGTCCCTCTGAGTGATCACTACTCCGTCGCGCGTCCAGTCACTAGTGGTGTCACCCGAGGAAACATGCGTAGTCCTTCCCTTTTCCTACTCTAAATCAACGGTACCACGATGTCCATCAAACATGTCAGACCATTTTTGTTCGCCGATGACATTAAGATTGTTCATAAATTTCGATGGGACGAACTCCAATGTGCAATGTTGCTTGTACAAGAAAATATCAAACCAACTGGAAAACTAGTGGGACACATGGCTGGTGTGATTCTCAGCTAATAAATCATGCACCATGTCAGATGGATATTTCGGTCCTTGAAAAGTCAGTTAAACTGAATAGTCTACGCATCTGTGTGAACCTGTCTGTGATCCAAAAATTCGATGCTCCTCTAATTTCAACTTCCCAGAGAAGGCTGAATATCAAATAGAGCGCGCCAAAAGATCAGTGGGTAACATATACCAGAAAATCTACACTAGCAAAATCGAACTTTTCAACATATTTACCCCGTCCTTGAGCACTGCAGCAACATTTACGGAAACGTGCGGATGGGTGACAGAAAGCTCTAGATAACACGCTAGCGTCATTCATTAAACATTTGTTTAGTAGGTTCTCCATCTTAAGCTATCTGGAGCGTTGCCAGCAACTTAACCCCAAGCCTCTTTGATTGCGACAACTGAAACATAACCTGATGCTCATGCATAATCTCAAAACCAAAAGAAATATTACAATATGTTTATATTATAACTGCAACGTCACTTTAGTTGGAGACTACTCAAAAAGGCTTGCGAACTAATCGTGCGAAGAACAGGGACGGCTATTCCATATAATTTCTTCCTTGTTCGATACACTGTCTTGTGTAATAGTCCACCAGCCGCCATCAGTGTTTGTACAAATGCGAGAACACTTCGCACTGAACTTAGAAATTTTCTGCATCCGAATTTTATACTGACCACCAAATGAGTTCTTCCGAAATGGACCAGGGAATATATTGCCAGTAGGAAACGCTGATGCGCAAAAAACACCAACGAAACTTGTGTTTCAGCATACCTTATTAACACCGACACTGCAGAATACATTTCTCACTCATGCGTAAGCATGATCATAACTTTGTTAACAATGTGTCCCCATTCCAAAGACAGCCTCCTGCTTGTATACGTATTATTATCATTAGTCAAAGTTGTCTGCAAACAAGTAACTCCCCACTCATCTTTTCAATTGTTGCACGAATCAGTGCATTACAAGGAATCTAGGCCTAATGGTGACGTTGCATGAATTTTTTAAACCTTGATTTCACCAACGTTGTTGTTATCTTTTGCATACTCCGTTCGCTTGCGAAATGGCAACCACCTAACCACACACTACAATATGCTTTCCTATTTGTGTATCTAATAGACGTAAAGATTTCAACATGCAAGTTCTGGATTCTTTTACCCGTTTGCATGATTTCCGGAACCAGGATTTTCTGTCTTCCCTGAGGTAAGTTGGTTGGCTCTTCCAATTGCCATAGTATTTTTCTCACACCATTGTACTGACGGAAACGAACAACACTCCCTGCTTCACACTCCATTTTCATGGCATTTCTAACTACGCATCTCTTTAGCTTCAGCCTCACTCACTCCTTCCGCTGTAATCACTCATTAAATAAATTCTGATATCAGAAAGGTTTGAAGACGACCGCTTGGTATTGTTGGATTGCAACGTTTCGCTTTTGTCATGAAGACTTCGTCAAGCCAAGTGAACCAGCGGGTGATTGCTGTTAATTTTTATGCAAACGAACAATAGTTGCGACGACGTAGGTGTACGTAGGAAAGTCATCACATTGCAGGCCAAAGTACCACGTTAATAATGGAAAGATTTCAACTGGTTCACTGCACGATGTCATCACACATAAGCCCCTGCCAGTGAGGGGTATTTGTGATCTGATGACTTATGGCTCTAGGTCCATCCACCGATGCTGCTCAGACAGATCGGCTTAAAACGGCCCGTCACACATTTGATAACTCCGCCCCATCCGTTCTGTTTACGCAGCTGTTAGTCTTGACTAATTCCGACGCCCCAGCAGTTGGCCTTTGGGGTGTTTATCGCAACCTCTCTCGTAATGATCTCGTCATTATCTAACTCAATTATAACCAGCGCCTGCATCGCTGTCGCCTAATTTCCCCAAAAGAGCCCTATATTCAAGCTCATTCTTCGGTGGCAGTGTCATGCGCCTCTTATGTTCTGCTAACCTAGCACGCATCTCTCAAACAGTTTGTCCTACCTACACTTGTGTAAAACTCTTGCGGCTAATTTTGTTAACCTAGTTGCTCATCCTATCCTATCAATCGGCGGACATGAAGAGGCTACTTACGTTCGACCATCGGTGCCTTCGCAGTTTGGCTCACATCTGGTGGGAACACCGAGTGAGTAACGAGCGTGTTCCACGCCTTGTTTACGGCCCAGGAAAAGGGAATGAACCGCTCAGCATCGTTATTTCACGCATCAGGCTCCGATGGCTGGGCCACGTGTTGCGCATGCCAGCCCACCGACTCCCTCGACGTGCCTTGTTTGCTCACCGGGAATGTGGGTGGAAGAAGAGGAGAGGTGGCCAAGCGATAACTTGGTCCAGAGGAATGAAATCCCTCACTTCTGAGCTGGCCTCGGTTGGAGCTTCATGACTCCCTGGTTGGGGTCCAAAAACGGTGAACACGTTTGGCTGGATACACTTGCTCACATGGCTAGGAGCCGACCTCAGTGGCGTTCGTGCTGTGAGTTTCTTTGTCGCTCCCCATCCCTTTTAGCCTGCCTCTCCAGCTACGATCTTATTTCGTAGGGTAAAACATAATTAATTTTGTTCTTTTTGCCTAGTAGCCGACTGGTAGCTTACCGGAACGATGCCTATCCGTTGCTGGTAGCTCAGCTGGCATGCAACTGTCGTAGTTATTTATCCTTATGTGTTGTATGTATGTATGTATTTCCTTTATATATTGCGGCACAATAGCGGAAGTGTTTTACCGCCTCTAGCTGACATGTCTAATGATGATGATGATGATCCTATCTGCAGGAGCTGATTCCTTCAAATGCCCCAATGCCTAGTGGAGCGTCTGCAACTTCTGGAAAATAACTTTTGGTTTTTCGTCGTTTAAAGCCCATCATCATCATCATACACGTTAGCCAGTGGTAGAGAACACATCAGCTACTTTGCCGCAATACATAGAAAAAAGGGGGGGGGGAAAGCAACTGGTGCAAGCCGGCTGAGCTACCGATAACGGATGGACATCGTTCCGGTAAGCTACCAGCCGGCTACTGTGCATCAAAAAAATTGCTATGCAAAATTACAAAATGCTAAATGATGAGCTCGTGGTTGGATGGGGAGGCTAAGAGGGATGGGGTATGACAAAGAAACTCACAGCACGAACGCCACTGAGGTCGGCTCCTTGCCATATCAGCAGCTGTGTCCAACCAGACGTGTTCATTGTCTTTCGGACCCCAAACAGTGAGCCGAGACGCTCCAACCGAGGCCAGCTCAGAAGTGAGGGCCTTCATTCCTCTCGATCAAGTCATCGCTTGACCACCCCTCCTCTTCTTCCATCCACACCCCCGGCGTGCAAACAACGCACGTCGCTAGAGTCGGTGGGCTGTCATGCGTAACACATGGCCGAGCCATCGGTGCCTAGTGCATGAAATAACGGTGCTGAGCGGTTCATTTCCTTTTCCTGTGCTGCAAACATGGCGTCGAACACGCTCATTGCTCACGCGGTGTTCTCACCAGATGTGAGCTAAATTGCGAAGGCACCGGTGGTCGAACGTAACTAGCCTCTTCAGGTCCGTTGTTTTAAGGGGCCTGGTTTCACAACCGTACAGTGCGGTCGAACGTACCGCTGCATTGTACACTACCCTTCAGGGCAAGAGTGATGTCGCGCCGGCGTCATAAGTGTCGAAGATTAGCAAAAGCGTCCCGAGCTCTTGCTATACGGTTCGTGATCTCACCTTCAATCCCACGGGCGCTGATACAACTTCCTACTCAGGTGATGCAGGACGTGCCATGGACGGTTAGTTTAGAGCCTCCGTCGGAGGCCGAGGTCCGAAACGCGATCACAGCCCTCAATCGTTTTCGTGCCGTTGGCCCAGATTCCCTCCCACCTGCACCATTTAAGGACGGAGGTGAGGTCCTCTACAGGGCACTGACCTCGCTATTCGAACGTATCTGGAACGAAGAGAATGTGCCGGCTAATTGGAGCGAATCGATTATAGTGGCAATATACAAAAAGGGCAGTCGCACAGACTGTGCGAACCACAGGAGTAATAGCCTAGCGCCAGTTGTGACAAAATTACTGGCCTCGATTATCGTTCGTCGCCTCACTACAGAACGGGAATCTCGGATTAGGGAAGAGCAGGCTGGTTTTCGCCCAGGAGGTGGCTGTATAGACCATATATTTACTTTGCGGCAGGTGTTAGAGCAGCGCCACGCATACTGCAGACCGACAATAGCTGTGTTCCTCGATTTCAAGTGTGCGTTCGATTCAGTCCATCGATGCATTATGTTCGAATTACTTGCGCGGAGAGGTGTTCCCACGAAATATGTGATCATCCTTCGTGCTCTATACTCAAACATTACAGGCCGCGTCAGGGTCTATGGTGTCCTATCAGATAGCTTTTCGACTACAAGTGGCGTTCGTCAGGGTTGGCCGACTCCCCCGTTTTTGTTCAATTTCGTCGTCATGGAGTGTTCCCTTGCGGAATCTCACGATGTATGCGTTGAAGTGCTGTCTGGTGAAAGGTTAGTTGATCTAAATTATGCGGACGATATCGTCTTGCTTTTCGACAATGTTGAGGCGGCACAATCAACCTTGAATAGCCTATCTAGAGTGGTCCCATTATTTGGTATGCACTTCGCACCTTCAAAGTGCAAACTGTTGCTGCAGGACCACCAGCCACTTGATGACCCCTTGACTCTTGCTAACGAGGAACTCGAGGCGGTTGATCGATTCACTTATCTTGGCAGCTGCATTGGCAATGATGGGCGCATAGAAACTGACGTGAGCTCACGCATTGCAAAGGCCAGAGCTGCCTTCTTGAACGTGCGGCATCTTTGGCGACAGAAGGGAGTTTCCCTCCGTCTGAAAGGCCGTGTATACAAGGCCACAGTGAGGGCCGTTCTGCTCCATGGTAGTGAAACTTGGCCCCTTCGGTCTGAAGATCTGAGGCGCCTTCAAGTCTTTGATCATCATTGTTTGCGATGCATTGCTGGTGTCGGATGGCACCAGGGTGTCCGCAACGATGATGCGCGTAGGCGAGTACTAGGTGGTGATAATCATGCTAGCTCCCTAGAACAACAGATAGCACTGAATAAGTTACGTTGGCTCGGGCACGTGCTACGCATGCCTGGTCACCGCTTACCTAGGAGGGTCCTGTTTAGTCTGCCAGGTGTAAGATGGCGCAAGACTCGAGGTGGACAGAAGTTGACTTGGCAGCGGGAAATGCAGTCACTGACGACCAAACTGAGTACCGTTGGTCCGTCTCGCCTTTCGAGATGGAGTCCGCGTGACTCACATTGTGCTTGGCTCGAGACTTTACAGGACATGGCTCGCAGTAGACACCAGTGGCGCGTCTGCTGCCGTCTCCTAATCGGATTGTCTGTTTAAAGTGTGTTTGGTGCTGAGTTATCTGCGGGGTAATGGCTGATTATGACGCGTGGCAGTGAAATCCGCAAGGAAGCTGTCTCGCCGATGCCGCCTTATCTTTGCACGATAGCCAGCTGTTTGTGACGGAATGTTGTCTACACAAGGTGTAGGCGCTTTGACCCTGAATGTTTGCTTAGGGCATTAAGGTTTTCAGGTAAGTCCCTCTTCTCTCCCTCTTCTTATTCTTTATTTCATAGGTTCTCATGGTTGTATGGCAGCGAAGCACCAATACAAATGGCTGATGTACTGCTGTTGATGATGATGATGATGATGAACGGCTTTTAGCCGATCCCCACTAAGGGTCAGCGATGGAGGCGGTCCAGACCAATCTTAGAGGAACACTGCACTTCGAGTGTGCGAAGCAAGGCCCGAAGTGACGGACAGCTAGTGCAAAGCTGTCCAGTGCCGCTTGACACGTCTGGGAGCTGTCACAGATTAGGTCAATATCATCAGCATACTCCAAGCCAAGAAGTCGTTCTCCTGGGGGCAGATCCACACCTTCTAAGTCGTGTCCTTCGAACGCGATTTCCATGACTTCGTCAACAGCGAAGTTGAAGAGGAAAGGTGGCAGCGGGCATCCTTGTCTCACACGGCTGGAGCTATTAAAATGCGACGAAAACTTGCCCTAAGCCCTCACTCTGCCCGAGCTACGCGCATATAATGCTCGGATAATATTCACATATTTCTCAGGTACACCTTTCCGGTGTAGGCAATCCCAACGTGCAAGTCTATCCACAGAATCGAAAGTATTTTTGATATCGAGGAACACGACAATGGTGGGCCGCCAATATGTGTGACGGTGCTCCAACAACT